GTTCTGTGTCTTTACAGAACCCTAACTGCTGCTGACCTCTGACTACTACCTTCTCTCTCCTCTTATCTCTCTTTTTTAAAGAATAAATAATCTTTATTTTATTTTTTTCCTCCACTCATCTCTTTACTGCCACCAGCCCATGGGGTTCCCCTGCTTTGTCCAGAGTTCACTGCGTGCCTGGCTCACCTGTATGTGTTGACTCAAGTGTGGGGTTACTCAGCACCTCAGCTCTTCTGTCTGCTCATTCCTTCAGCAGCTCCTCCTCCGGAAGGCAGCAGCCAGGAAGAACGATAAGCCCCGGGACCTCAAGCTAGGATCTTCTAAGGTTTATGTTTGTTGGCCATTTTTTTTTTTTTTAAAGAAAAGAGGAAACAATGGAAGAGATGATAAAGGAGAAAAGGTTCACTGAACAAAAGGATAAACTCTGGGCTAGAATCAAGATTGGGGATTAGCTGAGGATTTAGGCTGTCCACACTTCCCTTGGCTCCCAATTACCACGAGTAATTGAGAGGCTCGGAGGCCTGGGCTCGCTGGAGCAGACAGCGCTGTTCTCCTTGCGTATCCTGTCTTGGCTGGACACATGAGAACCCGTGCCCTGGACCTGCAGACAGGGCTTATTTTTGTGTGGTTCAACCCAGTCTTTCCTGCGGCCGTCCCCCTCCCTGCCCACTCCAGCCCCACTTTAGTCCTGCTTTGCCCTCTTGCTCCCTGTAATTGACAGTACAGAGGGAGGTGTGTTTTCTGGTGGCAAGGGCTGGACCGTGTTCCCCTTTCTCCAACAGGATGCTCTTCTGTTGTGTTTCTTCCTTTAGGCAGTCAGAGGTTTGTGAGTGAGACCTAAAGTGCCCCTTGGCAACTGGGCACTTTTACTTTTACTCACCTGATCCTTCCCTCTTCTCTGCACCGTCAGGGAGAGAATTATAGGGGCACGCATGCCTGAGTGTGTAGGAACTTGTGGCCAGGTGTGCCCATGCCCGTAGACAGCCCTGATTGTTCCCACTCCCCTGCTGTTTACGTCTTTCAAGTGTTTATGGAGAGTCCCGGCCTATTCTTAGTTATCAGGCCAGACCTCCTAATCTTGTCATTCTTCCCTGAACTCTCCTAAGCAGAGACAGAATATTTTTAAAATGGTAAATGTTCACTTCTGGAGATGACCCCATGGTCAAGAAGAGACTTTTGAAGTAGATTCCTTGCCTTGTATTCTGGAAGGTGATTTCTTGGTATCTAGAAAAACTGTCAGTTGGAAAATGTAAGATTCTTTGGGTGGGAACTTGGGAAGGTAGGGGGTGAAAGTGGCTCCAAGGATGGGGCTGGCTTCTGGGTTACGTGCCATTGAGTCAGTTCTGACTCCTGGTGACCTTGCGAATGAGCGATATCATGTCCTCACCGCCCTGCTCAGCTCCTGTAGAATCATGCCTACGGCTTCTTTTATAGAGTCAAGATCTCATTTTGGTCTTCCTCTTTTCCGGCTGCCTTCTATTTTCCCCAGCATTATTGTCTTTTCCAAAAAAACCCTTCCATCTCATAATGTGCCCAAAGTAGGACAGATTCAGTTTTACTGTTTTTCCTCCAGGAATGTTTCGGGTTTAATTTGCTCTAGGACCTACCTGTTCACATTTCTCGTGGTCCAGTGTATCTGTAGAGCTAAGTATACTTCTAATGAATCAATTTTTCCCCCTATCAGTCTTCTTCTCTGTCCAAATTTCTCATCTGTGAATAGTAACAGGTAATACGAGGGTATGGATGATCTTAGCCTTGGTCTCTAGTGGCACATTTTTGCTCTTGATCTTTCCTAATTCTTCCATTCATCCTTGCCACACAGTTGTTAGTATTTGCATGGCCTCTGGCGAAGTACTGCAGCAACAATTGATTGATTGATTGATTGATTGATTGGCTGAAGGATCTGAGGGGGCTACAAACATACAGGGTAAAGTGATAAAGAGTTGAGCAAGTTTAGGTGTTTTAGTGATCCATTGTTGTTTAACAAAGTACTACAACACCTAATGGCTTAAAGAAAAATAATGTATTCTTTTTAATGCTTCTGTGGGTTGGCTGGGCAGTTCTTTGACTGGTTCTATCTGAGCTCACTCCTGGACTCATCCAACTGGAGGGTCATCTGGGCTGGAATATTCAAGATGACCTTATTCACACGCTTGGCCGTTGGTCCTGGCTGTACACTGAGCTCCTTTCATTCTCAAGTGCGTGGCTTTTCATCCTCCAGTGGGTTAGACCAACTTCGTTAGGGCGGGGGGGCCTCAAGGTGGCTCCCAAGAAAGTGAAAATGGAACCTTAAAGGCCATTTAGAGCTCAGGACTGAAAGTCACAGCCCAGCCCTCTTCTTTCCAGCCTGAGTGAACCTGGGAAAATTCATGGATCTCTCCAACATTCATCTTCCTTCTCTACAAAAATGGGTATAATAATAGTGTCCACCTTTCACAGATGAAAAGACCAGACAAGTAAAGCTCTTGGTCTATTGCCTGGAACATGCTACTCAATGAATATTTGTTTTGACTATTATTAGTTTAGAGATGGCTTTCAGGGAGATTTTTTTTCTCTCTGTTGGAAGTCAAACCGTCTGTGTACCCTTCAGAAACTGTCAGTGCTGTTATTATAAGCCTTCCCCACCTCTCTCTGAGAGGGGCACCCAGACTCGCAGGCACTGTCATGGAGTGATAAGCAAGCAAGCAAACGAATGGTAGTAAACCCTGCATTTGACCCTCTCTCTAATTCCACGGTAGCCCCCATTTTTCCAAATTAGCGAGCTTTCTCATTTGTATGGTTTTTATTCTCCGTTGAACGTGGTGCAGCCTCTATGCATTGGCTGGCTGTAAGCATTTCAGAACAGCCTTCAAGGACTTCCAGAAATATGTGGACAGCCCCCACACCATGGCTTGCACCTCTCCTTAGACGGCTCCTGCCCACATTTCCGCAGTTTCAGGATCCCCAATGGTGTGAAGTCGGGTTCATCGTTCACTCTACCCCTGGGGAAGCTCCTGCCCCACCTCTTTACGTCTGGCTTTCAGTCTGATTTATGGCTGGCTGGGAGGATCTTAATTTAAAGCCTCTGTCAGAGGTTGTTGCCTGAGCGTGGTGCCAGTCAAAAGCTGTTTTCCTTTGGTTTTGCTCCTCTGTTGCCTTGTCTGTGGCATGAAATACAAGGTAGGAAAATAGGGCTACCAGAGAAGGTTGGGGAGTTGTTGAAAAACACTCGTGTGATCCCCTGGAAGGTACCAGGACTCCATCCCAGCCAGGGACTCAAGCAAAGCCTCTGGGTCTTCGAGCCAGGTTTCGCCCATCGGTTTACGTCTCTTTCCTAAGCTGTCTCTTGAGGCTGTTCTGTGTGGTAGCAACAATCAGGTTCAGAATCCCTCGTCTAATGCCTGTCAACTGTTAAAAACCCCTGTTCCTCTAGCCAAGGAGATTCTGTTTAGCTATGCCCTCTTTGCACTATGAAAACAATAGTATGTTTTTCACTTCATAAATTCAAAATTTTGTTTTGATGGTGAATGCTATGCATACCTGCCTCCAGAACCTCAGATATTCTTACGCCCCTTGGGAAATATTCCCCTCCTCTGGGATGAGAATCCCTTCCCAGCAGTTGTCCTTGGAGTGAGCCCGTCATTTCCCCATCATCTGACATCTCTCTAAGGCAGGCTTGAGCTGCTTTGCGTCTCTGTGCAGGACCACAGTCTAAACATCTGTGCTGTTCACATGTGGATTGTTAACAGAGCCAGTATTTCAAAGGGGTTGGCTCCTTTAGAGTTGAGTTCCTGTTGTTTTGACCATTTGTTCTGTTGGTCAGTGAGTGGCATGAATCTCCAGGTGGCTGATCCCAAATTGCTAGACCTAGGAATGGTATTTTTGTAACACACTCTTAAGAATTTCACGGCATGCTCAAGGCTGTGTTCCTCCCATCTTCTTCAAGAGGAAAGTTGTTGAATAGTGTTAAGGAAAAAAAGTAATAAGGTAAACAAACAAATAAATAAGTAGATTAAAAAGTAATTGTATCCATTTATGACCTGATCCTTTTTATTGTAACAATAGAAGCAGGTGCATACAGAGGCACTTGCGTGTGTATGTGCATAAGGAAGGTAACATTTAATTGGTGGGATTATGGGCTTTTAAAAATTTCTTTATAACCAGACAATGCTATTTATTTATAATAATTCCAAGATAAAACACAGCTTAACAACAGTAAAAAACAAACATACAAAAACAAGAAAGGGAAGTCAGATAGGTTGACTGGCTGACTGCGTAGGATCTTCAGGTCAGGGGCTGTGTGTGGGGTCTGAGGTCCCCTGGTCTGGCCCTCCTGCTTGGCACAGGGCACCTCATGCTGCCTCAGCCTGGACCTGGCTCCAGGGAAACCACGTGTGGCTGTTCAGACACGCTTACATGCTTCCTGAGGCCACTGAGTGCAGACACCTTCCTGTGGGCCTGTTTCTCTCCCCCATTGGCTGGAAGCAGTGTTGTGTAATAGGATCAAGGCTATTCGGCTTACTTTGGAGAGCCTTGTTGGAGGCCACAAAGGAGTGGGGTCGGGCCTTGTGTCTGCTCCTCTTGGGAGCGAAGCATGGCTCCCCCTGAGACTGGCGGCCCGTGGCTCCTTCCTGCTATGTCTGGGCTCGGGAGCGTACCCATGCACTGATAGTCCTGCGTCAGCCCGTCAGCTCCCAGGGCTCGCGGAGTCAGGCTCTGGCACCTGCCTCTCCCAGAGCCAGCAGTGCATCATCAGGAACCACTCTGAAAACAGCCAGGAAATCCACCTCCAGCAAACAGCTGCCCTCATAAGTAGGGGCCCTGCCATCCCTGGCTAGACCCTACTGGGTGTGAATGCTGTTGAGCCCTGGCCGCGGACAGGGCCACAGTGCCTCCCATGGGCTGGTGTGGGAGACACAGCCAAGCCATCAGTTCCTTGGGACCGGGCTGGGTCTTTGCATGGAAGGCAGTGATGATATCACAGGAGTGCTAGTCACCACAGGCTGTGTCTTCCTTTGCAGAGAAAGTCCACTCGTGTGACCAGGAGAGGCAGAGTGCCCTGGAAGAGGCCCGGCAGAATCCCCGAGAGGGCATCGTCATCCCAGAGTGTGCCCCCGGGGGGCTGTATAAACCAGTGCAGTGCCACCAGTCCACTGGCTACTGCTGGTGTGTGCTGGTGGACACAGGGCGTCCACTGCCTGGGACCTCCACACGGTAAGTCCCCCAGGCCAGTCCTGCTACTCAGGTGGATCCTGGGGCACGAGCACCAGCTTCCTGTTGGGCTGGCCCCTAGCCCCTCCCAGTTTCACTGTCCTGGATGGTAGGAGTCAAGGCATTAGGAGATCAGTGTTTCCATTTGTGGGCAGATGAGGTTCTGATAGAAAGATCTGGGTCCTGGATACTGGGCAGCCTTGGAAAAGTAGGTAACCTCTCTGGGCCTCAGTTCACTGATGAGAAGGTATCACCTTGTCTGAGTCACTAGGTTTTATGGATCAAAAAGATCCCATGTGCAGACAGAAGATAACATCACTATGCTTCAGTGATTGAAAGGACTTACACGGCCCTGGCTGGTGTGGCTCACCTGGTTGGAGCATCATCCAGTGGACCAAAAGGTCATGGGTTCAATTCTTGATCAGGGAACATTCCAAGGTTGTGGGTTTGGTCCCTGGTGGGAGTGCGTATGAGAAGGAATCTAATCGACGTCCATCTCTCTCTCTCTCTCTCTCTCACTGCCTCCACTTTCCTTGCTCTAGAAAAACAATGAAAGAATGTACTGAAGCGAGGATTTAAAAAACGATAATAATAAAGAAAGGACATGCCTCAACACGTCTCAGTAGGAATACTGATGCTGCAGTTGCCTTGTAGCTTCTGGGCAGTGCAGGAGGCATTGTACTGCCAGCCCTGGGAGCTCTAGGCTGCATGACAACCCAGATCATTGCTGGCAGCAGTGGCCGAAGTCCCCTCCTCACCCACTGTCCCTCTCTCTCTTCCCAGCTACGTGATGCCCAGTTGTGAGAGCGACGCCAGGGCCAAGAGTGCGGAGGTAGATGATCCCTTCAAGGACAGGGAGCTGCCAGGTGGGAAATGACGCTGCCCCTTGCAGCACCTCACCTCTTCTGTTCCTCCCCCTCCTCATCGTGCCGTGTTGCCTTCCCGAGGGTCTGGTTCCTCATCTGTGAGGTGGAGCAGGAATCTGGATGGGGCCTCACAGGAGCCTGGAGCCGGAGCTGCTGGCTCTGCATCCAGCCTGGGATTTATCCCTAATGAATCCTGTGTCCTTGAGTATGTTTCTCCCCCTTGCCTTAGCTTCTTATCTTTAAAACAGAGTCATTGCAATTCCACAATTCTTTCTCTATCCTGTGGTGATTGGGACAATGTTCTGGGCTCTGTGAACCCTTTTTCCTGGGCTGCCAAAAGGAGCTGGCTTACAGGGAGGGGCTGTCCTGGGGGTGTGGGCAGTGTCTGTCGCCTGCTGCCCAGTGCTTTTGCAATGATCCCTGGTGGCCCCGGAATGTCACTGGGCTATGACACAAGACACACTGGCAGGGGGCCTAGGACCTCCAAGTGGCTTCTCTGCTGGGTTTACCCTTATTTATAGTGTTTTTTACTAATGAGTTACCAGAAGATTAGCAAATATTGGTGGCCCAAAACACTCTAGTCTTAATCAGCACAGACTCAGACCAGGGCTTGTGGGAGCTGGGCCCACTTTCCTATTCCACATCAAGACCCCAAAGTGAGAGCTGAAAACAGAGGATCCCGAATGTCAGGGGCTTTCCCAGGCAGGTGTGCAGAAATCACCCTGTTACAAGAATGGAGTCGGGAGGCCAGGGTACCTCCTTCCAGCCATCTCCTTGGTGAATGTGAACTGGGATTCTACTGTGTGCCAGGCACTGAGTATCATCTCATGATCAAATTGACATGAGGCTTACGTAGTGGAGGAGGCAGAGACTATACAGATAAAGGAAGACAAACATACATCAATAGTGGTGACCAGAACTCTTGATGGGAAAGAGCAAAGTGGTGTGAGAAGGGCAGGGAGAGTCTAACTTCAGAGTCTGAGAAGGTGGCGTCTGCTCAGAGACCTGGAGGATTTGCAGAGAGAAGAGGATGAAAGAGTCACTGCAGGGGAGGGCTGTGTCGGAAGCGTGGAGGGCCCATGGGGGCCGGCAGTCATGAATTTACAGGGACCCCCATTATCCAGTTGTGCGGTGGTGTGTACACCACCTGCTGAGCTACATAGGCGTCGACTTGGAAAGGGCATGTCTGTGAGAAGGTTCATCGTGCTTTGGGTCTCGCTGGAATAGTACAGCGGAGGAAAAGAAGAACAAAGGATTTGAGAGCCTGTATAAGGGGGATTTGATGATTATTACCTAAGTCAAATGAGAAGCGAAAAAAAGGCAGAGGTTCTTGGATAGATAAACTGGTAGGTCTACTTGAATCCACTTGGACCAAAGGGGGTTTTCCCTCTGTCCTCGTGCCCTGTCAGCACCTGGTCCTTCCCTGTAGAGATCGCTGGGTCATGCTATACCAGAACTAGCTTGAGTTCCCCAGTGGACTGTGAACTTCATGAGGATGAGGACCCTGTTATACCCCTACACTTAGCATAGTGCTAACACACAGCAAAAATTTGTGGAATGAAAGAAAGTTGAAAGCATTATTGCCCCTCTCATCTGATGGTCGTTTGTGGGCTGCAGGAAGAGGAACTATGGGGGTTTATGAGAGCCATCTGAGCAGTAAACGATTCTCAAAGTGGACTGGCTGGACAAGAAGGATCTAGATAGGTTTGGGAAGCGGTGGTCGCTGAGGAAACTGTTTACTTGATTATTTACCTGGCACCGGCCTTCAAATCTTGCCTTATCTTTCAGGCTGTCCAGAAGGGAAGAAAATGGAATTTATCACCAGTCTCCTGGATGCCCTCACCACGGACATGGTGCAGGCCATTAACTCAGCCGCACCCACTGGAGGTGGGAGGTGAGGATGTGAGCGGGACTTGGGCCCGATGGGGAGTATGGGGCCCGTGATTCTCAGATGCTGTGGAGGCTGGGGTGGAGGGCTGGGAGGGGCTGGGCAGGGCCAAGGCTGGAAGTCGGTCCTCCTCCCGAGACTGCGTTGTCCCACCTTCCGCCCAGAATCCCCCTGCCCCTTTGCCCTCCCTAGACTTGTTGCTTGTCTCTAGCCTGCAGTTACAAGATTACAGGCAAGTCCAGGGATGTCTAGAGACTTCCAGCACTTTGGTCTCGGATGTGGATGCGTTGGAATGATAGCCCTCAATGGCAAGAAGGGGGTTGGGCGTATGATGGAAACAGGGAGGGCAGGGAGGGAGTATACAGCACTTGGGAGACATGTGCCTTTTTGGCTTCCTGAGAATTCCAAGGGGCTCTGGGCAGTGGGCTTGGACACTCCCGTAGCCAAAAACAACTTAGTTCAGGAGTTGACGTGCTGGCTGAGGCAGCCCTGACATGTAGCTGCAATGCATGTGCTCCCCAGTGACCAGCATCTGTGGCGCTCACTAACTTGGGGCCATTAGGTCAGCTGGTTATGTACATGTACTTATCCATCCATTTGCTCAGCACCTATGGAACATGCATGCCAAGCCCTGGGCTGAGAACTAGGAATCCAGGGATATGAAGCATGTTCCTGCCTTTAAAGAATGCAGCCTATTGGGGGTACTAGGCTCTAGACAGATAACTGACAGACTGCGTGGTACGTGCTAAAACAGAACAGAGAAGGCTTTGCTAACTCAGTCGGGAGGAGTCTGAGAGGATTCCTCAAGGAGGTGATAGTTGAGCTGAGTTTGGAAGGACAGGTAGGACTTAGCCAAAAAGAGAAGGAAAGCCATTCCAGGAAAAAGGAAAGAATTCTGTGACTCCAAGAAAGGGCATGTCTGGGTTCAGCACGGCTGAGCGGGGCGGATGGGAGACGAGGAAAGAGGGGGAGATGGGAGTGGTGGTAGGGGAGGCAGAAGAGCAGGCAGGAACCAGGCCTCTAAAGGCCCGTGAGGCGTGCGTCCGCCGTGAAGCCGGGGGCTGGGGGGGGGGGGGGGGGGGGGGGGCTCGGGTGCCTGCAGCAGTGCAGTGGACGAAGTGCCTTGTGCTTGGCAGGGACAGGCAGCCTGCCTCTGAGCTTATGTGGCTCACCAAGAAGGGGGGCTAGTCCCCCCACATCTGTCCAGAGGCAAGCAGTGCCACCACGATGCCAGGCCCAGGCCTCCAGGCCCAGAGAAGGGCCCAGGCACAGCGGCGTCAGGGGTGACCGGCAGAGCCGCAGGCGTGTGTCCAGGCTGGGGAACGAGGATGCAGGCACAGCTGTCGGTGGTTCTGCGTCCCGAGGAGGACGAGGCAGCATTCCTGCGTGCTCTCAGCACCTCCACGGGGCTGCGCGCTCTGAGGCTGGTTTCTGGCCTTGGCTCTGATTTTGCTCACCCTGTGGCGGGGGCCAGGCCTCCCCGAGCAGAGCACAGCACAAAGTCTGAGACGACGGAGACAGGGTCTTACAGGCGGGCCGAGGCAGGCAGCCCAGGGTGCTCAGCGACGGGGTGTCTCAAATAAAGAGGGCTGTGTCCGGATCTCCCAGGAGACAGGAGGGGGGTGGTTCTTGAAAAGGCATATTCAGTATTAGATACCTTTATGCTATTTATGCTTGGAATATGAAAAGTACCTGTAATTTCATCCAAAAATGGGTATGAGATATTGATGTTTATTACAAGAGAGAGAGAAAAGGAAGGGGCATGGGCTTAAAACTTCCATGTCTGGGTACTGGCCCCCCCAAACCTCCTGAGGGCTGCTGTCCCTGGTCAGCCACTCAGGGAGCCGCTTGGGGCTTGAACATCAGTGCTAAGGAGACGAGACTTCAAGCTTTGTCCCACTAGTTTCCTCAGGAGCCCCAACTCTGAGACCACGTGGTCTCGCCCCAGGCAGGCTGAGGGTGCTGGGAAAGGACCACGCCTGTGGGTCCTGGGCCGGCAGGTAGGGGCCAGGTTGGGGGTGGCCAAGAGCACAGGTGGACCCCGCTGCTAGGGGTGGTTAGGACTGATGTCTTACCCTCCAATAGTGGGCTAAAGGGATTTTTAAAGAAAATAAAAACTAAGTTTAGAAATGCTTTTAATAACAAAGGGAAACTTTAAAAAATCCTCTCTCTTTTAGGTGTCATATTGAGTTGGGAGAAGTTTTTAGAAATATGCTTTCCTAACATGTTTTTAAATGTTATCATATAGCTTGACCGTGTTTGGTTTTGATGAGAATGAAAGGTTTGAACTGTATTTGGTAATTGTGTTACCTAGAGGCTGGGCTTGTAAGCAAGAGACAGACAAGAGGAACCAAGAAATAGTTTGGAAGTCAGGAAGGCGGGGTAAGAAGGAAGGGAAAGAAGCAGCTATTCAGGGAGGCAGCTGGCCAGGGTTACCAGTTTTGCTGGGTTTGGAGCCCTCCCAGATCTTCCCATGATATTTGGAGGGAGCCCTAACAGAACCTGAGCTTGCCCTGCAGTGTGGCTCTGCTGGGCTCCCCTCGCCCTCCCTCCTTCCCACAGTCACCGGCAGCCGCCGGCCCCCTTACTCCCTCAAGGCCAAGCTTGAGCCCGCCCCAGCACCTCCCGGTCCACTCTCCTTCAGCCTGGAGCTGAAGGACCATGGTGACAAAGAAGTGCCATGATTTCTCTATCTTCCAGTGCCTGGCCCCTGCTTGTACATTTAAATGTCACCTTCTCAGACACCACCCCATCAAAGGAGCTGTCTGGTCACACTCCATCACAAACCCCCTTTTTAAGTCTCAACCTAATGCTCCCCGCTATCTTGCATTTTGCTGTTGTGTTTAATTATTGTCTGTGTCACCCCACCCGGTAGAAATTTCAGTTCTGTAAGAGAAGCGTTCTCTGCCTCTCTCCCTGCTGTATTCCCAGTTCAGAATAGTGCTTGGCTCATAGTAGGTACTCAGTAGACATTTGTTAAGTGAATATACAGCTAGAAGGATGGTGGATAGGTGGAAGGATCACTGTCTGATACAGAGAAATATGTCTTGATAAGGCCTCTCTATCTTGGCACACATGAGAATGTCAAGGAGACCCCATCCTGTCCCTCCTGCATTCTCTCAGGGTGTGACAGTTAAAGCTGGACATCAGCGGAGGCCAGTGGGGAAAGTCCTACCCAGGGACGGTGGGAAGATGCACCAGGAAGAGTGTTTGGGCAGTGCAGAACACAGTGTCTTCCCGCCCACCCTCCCACCTGTCAGGCACAGTGACTGTAGTCTTGCACAAACTCTTACATCTCTACCATCCCCTCATAGGAGCTCAGTGCTGGGTTCTGGGGATGTTCAGGGACAAGGGCATACTTTCTACTCTGGAGGAGCTCCTGGAAGAAGATAGTTAATCACACAATTGCACTATAAAGTCATTATAATAATAGAGATAGATAAAGTGCCGCAGACACCTGGGGGAGGAAGGGCATGGGAGAGAAAGCTTTACGCCGGAGGCAACATTTGAGCCACCTGTTCACTTAAAGATGAGCAAATGCCCCAGAGGTAAGTGCATCCCAGCAGAGGGCCCCAGGCATAGTGAGGTTGTAACAAGGTAGGACCTGTGAAAGGAATTGCAAGAAATGTGCTTTGCATTTGGGGGGCAGGCTGTGGACAGGCAGGAGAGGAGGCAGAGCCCAGGTCTCGCTGGGCCTTGTGATTCATGCTAAGAGGGCAGCAGGGGGCCACAAGATTTTATGGGCAGGAGGGGAACCAGATGGGGCAGGAAGGCTAGAGCAATTGTCAGAGTGAAAGGCGAGGAAGGGCGAACTAAAGCTAGGGGGAAGGGATGATGTGCTGAGGCTTTAGTAATGAAATCAGGAGGATTCAAAGACTTTTCAGAGGCAGGGAATGGAAGAGAGGGAGATATTTACTTCCTTTTCCGGCCTGCTAGCCTGATTTGGGTGGAAAGCAGTGCCAGCCAAATTTAAAGCAGACAAAGTAGAATGAGGTGTCCACAGAAACGTGTGGCTGGTGCCTGGCAGGCGGCGGCCTGCTCTCATTTCACAGCAGCTGTTCGCAGTGAAGGCTTGTTGCATTATCCTCTTGGTCCTTCTTACCAGGGCTCCACGAGGCAGAGCCCTCCCTTAGATCAGTTGTCTCGTGGGACCCCGTCAGCATTCATCACTTCCAAAGGAAGGGTCCTGAGATCTGAGCTGGAGGAATCCGCCTGAGCAGGGGGACCCTCTCCTGGAGAAAGGCAGCTGTGAGGGGAGGCGGGATGGGCCATGCGAACCTCGTGGCCCTTCCCGTGGCCCCCCAAGGAGGGACGGCTTTATTGTAGCTTCCTCCTTCCTCTGCAGTATGGTTAGTTGTTGGTGGCCTTGCAAGGAAGAGGCTGGAATGTGGCTGACTCGGCATTTCCCAGCCCCTTTCCCCTGCACAGCTGGCACGGCTGGACCCGACTCCAGATGCAGCTCAGTTGGTCTGCTTGGTTTGGCTACTGCCTCCAGGCCGGCCCACCTCACCTTGTTTAAAACTGCTTGGGACAGCAGAACTGGGCCCAAGATCTTGGCCGAAGCAAGTTTCCTTGTGGTAAATGGGGCTGGCTCTCCAGCTGTGCATCGCAGCCAAGGCCTGGCGGGGCTCAGGCCTCAGAAGCAAAACTGAAAGCGCTGCAGAAGGGTGGCACCTGCCACCTCTCAAGTTCGAAGAAGACTCATGGAGGCCAGTCAAGGGCGGGGGCCTGGCTCTAGGGGGTTTCCTTATCCCTGGAGGCAGGAGTCAACAGGACAGCCACCTAACCAGCCCAGAGGCAGGGCACTTTACTGTGTCTTTCCCACCACATCCAAGGAAATGTGGATGCTCTGCATGCCCAGTGAGCCCCGTTAGCAGAAGTGGAACTTTACCTGTAGGGAGGCTGCAGTATGGACCAGCAAATCGATGCTTAGCGGTCTTTAGGAACCATTGCACCCTCTAATAGCGGGTCCCCAGCCCCTGCCTGGCCAGCTTTGAATTCCAGCAGTCCTGATTTCCAGTAGGTGTTATATGTGTGCCTGTGAGAGAGAGGTTCGCAGTTTGATGCTGGTGTACACCTAGAGCTGGCAGGGAGAGTGCACATTGCCAAGGTTTTAAAAGCGTCCTTCTAGAAAACTGTAAGAGCGGGAGGTATCAGTGGAGGATGGCTCTGAGGTTGGGGTCAATCTGGGGAGTCCAGCTATGATGGAAAGGCCTCCAGCCAAGATTGCTTGAGAGGTTCTTGAAAACTCTGGGGGAGGCCCTCTTGCCCCACTTCATCCACGCTCCCCTGGGAAAGCCTTGGCTTCTCCTTAGTTAACAGAGGCCTCTTGTATCTTCTTTCCCACGTGCCCACTGCTGCTTTGTCTAAATCAGGACTCCCAGTAGATCTCAGTCTTAACTAGATCTTGCGTGAAGCTTGATCGGTCTGGGACTTAAGGCTGTTACGAAGCCCAAAACCTGATTTACATAATTTTATACCAGGTGTCCTCTGTTAAGTTTTGGAAATATGGAAAGTACCCCAAACTCCTTCTGTGTTACTGTCTTTTGTCTCACCCCATCTTTTTCTGGAAAGTTCATGCTTAAACATTTTTCTAAGTCATGGCGAGAGTCTCCCTCTCATTAAATCAAGGGTTCTTCAGCTGAGTCTATGACCTTGGTTGAGGTCTAGGTGGTCCATTAAACCCCTAAAGTCTACAGAGTGCTGTGTGTGTGCGTGTTTTTCTAGCAAGAGGGACTATAGCTTATTTAGGTCCTCAGAACATCATGATCTCCCAAAGCTAAGAAATGCTTGCTTTAAATGCATTTGGAATTTGGCCTGGACAAAGTGCTGGGTTCGTCGGACCTTAGCACTGCCCGCTTCACATGTAGAGCTGGACTCTGTATTCAAGGGGGAATGTGAGTTTCTGGAGGTTAAAGAAGTTCAGAGCCGAGAGCCTAACACTAGCTGGAGTGGAGGGAGGAAGGAGGCTCCCCAGGGCAAGCTGTGGGCTATGTCTGTTATAGAGGGAAAGAGGCATTTCTGGGAGGGACCTCAGAGGACCTCTTCTAGGCAAGTGTCCTTGGAGGCTCCCGGGGCCGGGTCAGGAGGTGAACAAGGGGAAGCCAGCAGTTGTTAAGTCATGGCAGCTCCGAGCTTGAGGTTCTGCTGGGAGCGAGGAGGGCAGGAACGTGGTTCTCTGGGCAAGGGAGATAGGGCAGGAAGGGAGAGTCAGAAGAAAGGGAGGGAAAAGGGAACAAGGGCCAAAGGACAGCAACCCTCTGTATGGGAGGAAACTCTTAGGGGCTATAAAGCAAGGAGAATAGAGGCTCCTTGCTGCAAACTACCCCAAAGGTAGGTGCCGGGCCCCACCGGCAGAGGTGCTGAGAGCCGGGCGGCAGGAGCCCCAGGAACACGTGTTGGAGGCAGCGAGCCTCTCCTGGCAGGGCGTCTAGGCGGATGACCTCATTCCTTCCCGTCTCCGCGACTGAGGCTTTATTATTCCAGCCTCTAGGTAGACATTACGCTATGCTGAGCCTAAAGGTTAGCTGCCTTTGCCTGGGACGCTCATGGTCCCCTGGCCAGAGGGGCCACCCCGCTTCATGCCAGCTGCCTTTAGAGAGACTGGTGGGAATAACTGGAACACCTCTCTTGAGGCTCCCCCACAGCTGGGCTCCTGCCCCAAGTTCAGGGGAAGGCAGAGGGAGCTGGCCACCCCCCTCCTGCTCTGTGAGCATCCTTATAGAGAATTTTTCTCTGCCCACCTGGTATACCCTGCAGGGGCTGGCTTGGAAAATGAATGTGGCAGGTAAAATAGAGGAAGCTTAAAGAGATCCAAGTACCATGTGCTGGCAGAGACAAAAATCTCAGCTCTGCATTGAATAACCCCATGCCTGCTACAAAGACCTCCTGCGCCTGGCTTCTGTGACAGACGAAGCCGATTGCCAGGGAGCCCAAGGCAGTCCATCTCTCCACCTTCCCCAGGTCCTCCCTGCATTAAACCCAGCACGATGACGTCCCGCTGGCAGGTCCACTAATTGTGCTCTCTTGGAGTCAGTCCAGGGTGCACAGGGGGCCTGCCCAAGACTGCAATCCACTTAATGAGGACTGGGCATTTAGCAGGCCCTTTTTTTTTTTTTTTTTTTTTTTTTTTTGTAGTGAAACTTCTTTTTCCCTAAATGTTGAGGTCACTTGGGTGTAAAAAGAGGAGTGAGTTTGCTGGCTTGTTCATAGGGGAGGGGTAGGGATGGTCCCTTCCCTTCTGGAAAACTCAGCAAACCCCAGAGAAGAACCCCAAGGCATTGGCAACTGCCTTGAATATTTTTCTTGCCGGGTACAGCTACAGAATGTGCTGGCAGGCCCTGAATCCCTGAGCTAGGATCCCTTTGGAACAGGGAGCCCCTCTGTCCTGCTTCTGACGCATGGTGGGGATGTTGTCTGTCCCAGGCCCTATAGACTGAGTATTTGGACACTCAGTCGAGCATGAAACTCCTAAGCTCACTCTTATGGCCCTCGCAAGGGAAAGCTGCCCAGGAATTTGAACACAAGAGCCTGGACCACTGTCACTCAGTGCCCGTTCCTGGGGGCAGGAGTCAGGGGACTTCTGTGGCTTTGCCCTTCTGGTCAGAGACCTCAGTCTCCCTCTGTAATAGACCCATCACTGGCTTTAAAAGTTTTAAATATCACCTAGCACCCTGAATGCTTCTGGGGAAAAGATGAGGCATAAGTCAACAAAATGGTGTGTCAGCTGTGTGTAGAGTTGTACATGCAGACATGGCCACTGTATGGCCACCACATGTTTGTGGACTGTTTGACACGGTCGTTACAGTGCATCCAGACCCCAGGAGCTTTCTTGGCTACTCTAGGCCAGTGCCTTCTGAAAGAATCCCCTGGGGGTTCCAATAAACATAGGGTGTCAGAGGTCAGGAGGTCCCAGCCCCCCTGACTGAAAACTTCTCCATGGAGAGACTCAACTCTAGCGGGTCTGGGACTTGCCAGGTTTAGAACCTCTGTCTGTGTCCATGCTAACTGCCTTCTCCTCTCAATTCCTGCTGTACTTGGTACCCAGCAGTGATGGGCCACGAGAACCTCACGCTTCTCACTGAACTGTCACTGCCTGGTTTTATGTTTCTGGCTCTGTGTCGCTGAGACAGTGAGCAGCTCGAGGCCAGGGGCTACGCCTCCCTTTGGAAGCCCTCCCAGGACCTGCCCAATTCTGGGCTGTGGTGCACACTCAGACCATCCCTTCCCATAGTCACGTTCATTAGAATGTACATGTTCATGTGCGAAGAACAGCTTGTCAGGCAGGGAACGCTAGGTAGGGAGGAGGACAATTTAGACCCAATCTGTGGTTTTTCTGAGATGAGTGAAATCCAGCCAATATGTCTTGAATGCCCATCTTATACAAGGATGTTCCTGGCTATGGGAGAAGGTGAAGCAGAGTTATGTAATAAGAGTCACTCAGTGAACTTGAATTATCCAGTGTTGAGACTCCAGTTGGAGAGGATAGCTTGACTCTGCGACACTGAGCGAGTCTGGGAGGCCTTTGGCTGGAGGAGCCCTTTCTACCTGGCCTCCCGTCATGAGGGCCCGATCTAGGGGAGAGAGTCCGGTTGGGCTAAGGGTTCCTGCAGCCTCCTGAGCCGTGTTCTCTGCGTGGGGGTGTCTGCCTGTGGCCCAGGTTCTCGGAGCCGGACCCCAGCCACACCCTGGAGGAGCGGGTGGTGCACTGGTACTTCAGCCAGCTGGACAGCAACAGCAGCAATGACATTAACAAGCGGGAGATGAAGCCCTTCAAGCGCTACGTGAAGAAGAAAGCCAAGCCCAAGAAATGTGCCCGGCGGTTCACCGACTACTGTGACCTGAATAAGGACAAGGTTATCTCGCTGCCCGAGCTGAAGGGCTGCCTGGGTGTGAGTAAAGAAGGTGAGTGCTCACTCCAGTGCTCCCAGCCTTCCAGTGCTTGTCCCACAAGGCAGAGGGACAAAGCGCCCCCCCAGTAGATGGGATCCCAGGCACGCGTTTGTTCAGCTGTTTCCTGGGAGTACATTATGCTTTGTGTTAGATGCCTGTACGCTGGAGGAATTGATGGACAAGGTCCCTATCCTTTCTCAGTCTACTGTGGAAACATGGTAAAGCGTTTACATGCATTGTGATAAGTACTATGAGAGTCCTATGTTAGGATAGGCCAGAGGAAGACCCACACATTCAATGGCTCAGCACAGTGGAAATTTGCTGGCTTTGCCCACATAACAGTTCAGCATAGTTTATGATCATAGCGCCCGCGTGTGCGAGTGTGTGGCGTGCAGGGAAGAGAAGGAGTGGGGATTGCTCTGTACAGTCACTCTGAAATCCAGGCGAAGAATGACTCTGCCATTTTTATCACGTGGCTCCCAAGGTCACCATAGGGGCCACCTGCACCCCAGTCAGCCTGCAGTAAAGCATGGAGCAATGCGTGTGGGACAGGGGTTCATGGTCCAGCCTGGAAGTGACACACAGTACCTTTCATATTTCACTGGCTGGAACTCAGTCGCTGGACCACGTGCAACAGTAAGGAAGGCTGAGAACCCAGGAAGGGGAGGGGAGGGTGGATTCTGGCCAACATCTAATTATCTCTGTCACAGGCAAACAAGTACTAGAGTATTACAGAGACATATGCAGGGGTACCTACATCAGCGTGGGGACAGATGGCCTTGGAAAACTTCTTGAAGGGACTGATGTGTAAACCAGGGGTCAGCAATCCCTGGCCATGAGCCCAGTCTAGCCCATGGCCTGTTTTTGTGTGGTCTGTGAGTAAGAATCACTTTTGTATTTTTAAAAGGATACAACTTTTTTTAAAAGATGAGACATCAGAGACAATACTTGGCCCACAAAGCCTAAAATATTTGCTATCGAGTCCTTCACAGGTAAGCTTGCCAACCCTAGTCTAAACCAGCACCTGCGGAAGGAGCAGGCGTTGGCGAGGCAGACAGGTCAGGGGAGCGAGGCGAAAAGCGACCATGCCAAGGTGAGGGGCCAGAGTCCCAGAGGAACTGAGAGCTGAGTGTGACTGAGGAGCACTAAGGGTGGCCGGAGAGGGGAGGTGGCAGGGAGCAGGGTGAGTTTCGACTTTGAGGTTTGTGTGGAGCTGTTGAAGGGGCTCAGTCTGAGAACTAGAAATCAATTTTGCTTAAAAAAATTATTCCAGCTGCAGTGTGGGAAACAGAATGGAGATGAACAAGGGCATGTGCCCAATAGGAGGCCGGGGCATCGTGCAGGCAGGTGAGGGAGGCCCACGTCGGGAAGAACACAGTGCAGGTGAAGAGAAATGGGTGGACTCTTTGGTGTGAAGATTTAACAAGATGGTGCATGTGAAGAACTTAGCCTAGTACCTGGTTCGTGGTGGCTGTAAAGCAAATTAGTAGTGATAGAGGACCACACCCAGGGGCTGGAAGCAGCTTCCCTGGGTCCCTCTGCTCTGGGGAGCTGCACAAGACCCCTTGGGTGGATGGTTGCAGGGAATGGAGCCCATGCCTTGGTCATCTGGTGTCATGCGGTGCCCTCTTGTGGGCCGAGAGGGGCTTGCATGCCAGATGGGGAGATGGAGGGGGTGGGGGAAGACAGGGTGTTGAAAGTGAATATAGCTTTGGGACTGAATTTTTTGGAAATGACTCCTGAACATGGGTATTTTTAGCAACCAGACTCCTCACTGGGAACTGAACTCTCTGTAGCATAAGAAGGCCGGACATTCTGAGAGGTGGGCCCCTTTCTTAACTGGTCCTTTATCACGATTATTGTCTCCATCCCCTGAGACAGGCAGGGCGGAGACTGGTTTCTCCATTTTTGAAGAATGGCCCCTTCCCTCCTGAGTTGCCGGAGGATGCCGCCGGCTCTGGGCTCAGGCCTGTTTCCCCACTGTTCTCCGTGGCAGCTAAGGCACGGTTCTGGAAGTAGATGGCCAAGGCTGAGTTTGCTTTGCCACGGAAAAGCTGTGCCAACGCCAAGCCTCGTTTCATCACCCTAATATGGGGATATCTTGGTCACTGTATATAAGCATCACACACACTTGCTGCGAGGAGCACGTCACATGACTTAGGTGACGGGGTTAGTGCAGTGAGCCCTCATGAGGGACAGCTGGTTGCTGCTGGCTTGCCCGTTCTTCCCCGAGTCTGGGTGTGGAGACGGCTGCAGAAGCCTCCTCTTTACAGTGCAGGTCTCTGCTCACCATGAGGAGGGGCAGCTGCCACCAGAGGAAAGACGGCCTCTGCCACTTCCCACCTGCCTGTCTTTCCCAGTTCGTTCGCTCATCTGTAAAATTGGATGTACCTGTATCTACCACCTGCCCCAGCCCACCCTGTTCTCTCCCTCCTTCTCAGGTCTTCAGGGAGGTTAGTGTAACTGTGGGTTCACATGACCCGTGGGTGGGCGTGGATTCATATTCCACAAAGCCCTTTCTCTACCTGCATGAATTCAGTTCCTCAAGGCGATCCTGTCAGAGAGGCAGATCAGGAGTAGCATGGCTGTGGTCCTAAGTCCTGTCTATAAACTGACCCAGAGGGTGATGGGCGTGTACAGAGTCGCACAGACCTCAGGGGTCACGAGAGCTGGTCCAGCCCTTGCTGTGCTTGCCTCCCAGCTCCCCACTCTTCCTGTAGGAGACCTGACCTTGCAGAAGCCTCCCTGCGGGGCAGAGTGGGCGTTGGCAGAGCACACCTTGGACCCTGGTTAAGTCATTCAACTGCTCTGAGCCTCGGTTTCCAGACTTGTTAAGTAAAGGGGCTAGACCAGACGGTCGCAAAGCTTCTTTCCCCCTCTGTCCTGTGACTTGAAGAACCAGAACCCAAAAAGGTTATGCAAATGTCCACCAATGCCCAAGCTCCTCTTGGCTCATAGCGGAGGGGATTCCAAAGAGGCACCCCAGTGGGTGCCGGGCCTTATGGAAAGGAGACTTTGCTTAATGGTGTTGGCTGGCAGTGGGTTCACTTGGGCAGAACTGGGCCTCCGACACCCACAGGACAGGAAGCATAAGCTTGCCACCTCTGGCTCTTTTCCAAGTTCACTGTGCACTCCAGGGCTTAGAGGGGACAGGGACCCAGGTATAGAAGAAGCTCTACCAGCTCTTGGGGTGAAGGCCACTTGAGTGTCACATGTTCCTATTTGTTGCAGGTGGTAGTCTTGACAGCTTCCCCCAGAGAAAATGGCCAGGCCCAAACCTACTCAGTAAGTTGCCTCCTTTCTGGGGTCTGCCCTATGGGCCCCTCATGCAGCTTTGGTGCTGCAATAGGAGTGGAGGGCTGAGTAACTTAGCCTCCTGTTACAATTTTTTTTTTGCTGAGGATGCAAGAGAAAGATTGGTTAGTGCTGTGAGGATCCCACCATCCCCACCTGTAAACATGGCACCTGACACGGCTGCCAGCCCCAGGTGGAAAGGCTGGCATCTGGGAGAAGAATGGTTTGTGCGGAGTGCACAAACCCAGTGTGCTTACTGGGCAAGGCCTAGTTCTCCAGAATGCTGCATGTGTTCCCGTTGCCATGGTGATGCATCCCTTGCCTCCTGGCGGCAAAGGATGGGCTGGTAAAACGTGGGCTTATCTGCAAGTCTAGGCGGGCTGTGTCCTGCCCAGCACCATATGTAGCAGCAGGTGGAAAAGGCTGCTCTTTTAGGGAAATTGATCAATGTGGTTGGATTTCTCCTAAACCCAACTCTAATTTCTCCTTGTTTATACTTCCTCTTCTCAGCAGGACGCCTTGTCTAAGGAGCAGAAAACCACAGGGCAGGTGGACAGACCAGGGAGGCAGGACGGATCATCAGACACCTAACCTTCGACGCTGTCACGGCCCAGCCACCACCCAGCCACATCCCATGTAACATGAGTGGTGCCCACCGTGTTTGCACTTTTAATAACTCTTATTTGCGTGTTTTCTTTTTGGTTTCATTTGTAAACACCAATATCTAATACCACAGTGGAAAAGGAAAGGGAAGAAAGACTGTTTATTCTCTCTCTTATTGTAAGATTTTGGATCTGCTACTGACAACTTTTAGGTTGGGAGGGGGGGTTTGTGGGACTGAGAAGAAAGAGATTTATATACTGTATATAAATATATATGTAAATTGTATAGTTCTTTTGTACAGGTGTTGGCATCGCTGTTTGTTTATTCCCTCTCTCTCCCTGCTCTGGGTTTGGGAGCTCCGGACACAAGGCCCCGTTTTCTAGAACCCAGCGCTCCATTCCCAGCCCACCTGCATCCGGCGTGGAAGCGGCCCCCAATGTGCATGTGGACGGGAGCCCCGTGATTATACCGCAGGCTCCCTCCGTCCTTTCCGGTGGGCGGAGGGGAGCGCCTGGGCCCTCGCTGTCCAGGCTGGCGCACCACATCGCAGTCGGCCTTCTCAGGGGAGGTTGGGTCAGGGGAGAGATGGGAGCTGTCCCTGCAGGGAGGACAACAATGAGCTCAGGCACCAGTTCTCCCGTTATCGGGATGCCCATGTGGCCCAGGGTCTGTAGGTGGACCAAGATCCTCGTGACCCGCGGTGCAGGTATCCTCAGAGCACTTGCATTAGGTCAGCTGAAATATTTTCACTCACATTTAAGCACCTACTCTGTGTAAAACATGAGAGGGGAGGCAAAGAGGGAGAAGGCCCAGGGTGGGGCCTTTTATTGAGATGCGTAATACTGAAGCAGCAGAAGGAGGAGAACAGGACGTGTCATCGGTGAGTGCAGTGCCCACAGGAAGGCTCCTCGCCTGCAGACCCGCAGCGGAGGCCTCTGCGACCTGCCTAGCCCCCCGAGGGTGCTGGGTCAGACTGGGTTTTTACCTCCACTCGCCACTGCCACACCCTCTCACCCCGCCCCACCCCCACCATCCCCATGGTCAGCACACGCCTGAGGGAGGAGTCGGGCCTGTCACCTTGCTAGTAACCAAATGGTTCTATTTTTTAACCCAATACTGAGGTTCTTTCTGTTTCCTCAAATGCTTGTAAGGGCTTCCAGTCATGAGGCCAACTCCAGAGCCTCTCCTGGAAGTTCAGGGACAAATAGCCTTGCTGGGGCAAGTGTAGGCCTAGCCATCCCCAAACGTTTTACCAGGGTTGCATTGGGGGCTGCCCAGCCTTCAGGGAAGACGCACAGCTTCCTTTGCCCAGGTGACCATGGCCATTCAGACACTTAGCAAGTGACACTTAGCGCCACTTCCCACGAGCAGCCGTGGCAGCAGCCAGGGCGGGCGGGTACCCCAGGACTGGTGCCCTTGTCGGATTGCTCTTAGGAATCTTGCCTCCCCTCGTATCCCAGCCCAGCATTCCCGTCAGCGCACCCACCTTGCAGCCTGCGTACCCCACCTTGGTTTGGAAAGCTTTGGCATCGTAAGCCTGCCTCCCCCAAGGCCTGGTTGGGGGAGGGCCCCTAGGGGGGGAACATGGCCTTTTTGGGACACGATCTGAAGGCTCTGGCTGTCCAGGGGGAAGCTCTAGAGTTTGCCTTGGGGATGACTGGAGGCCCCATCCCAACGTGGGAAGGGGGAAAGGGAGCCCTCGCCCACTAGCCTGGTCCAGAAGACTTGGTGTGCCGAGCTGGACGGACCTTCCAGGAGACCCTGTCCCCTGCTCTGGCCTGGAGGAAGCATGACAACACAGAGAAGGCACCCCCTGTAGAAACCAGACGCTCCCCCAGGCTGCTGCTTTCTCACCTGTGTGTAGGCTGTGTTTGTGGTTTCCTTTGTGAGGAGGGAGGGACACTATTTGTAGCTTGTTTTATGAAAAATAAAAATGGGTAAACGTTGGTGGCTGTTGCGTCTTTCTTTGGGCTGCTTCCTCTAATGGCTGGCTTCGTTTCCTAGAAGGTTTGGATGCTTTCCCTGGCCCGGGTGCCCTCCACTCTCATCCTAGGAAGTCCTGGCCGCTGGAGGGAACCCAGAGGTGGCCATGAGGTGGCACAGCGCTTTGCTGTGAGGACATTGACCGGTCCCCTTGCCTACCCTTGCCTGCCATGTCTGTGTCCTCTTTGTAACTCTTACCTCCGCCCATATAGCTGTCCCCTTCAAGCCATCCTGCAGTGCAGGGAATGTCACTGGCAGCGCTTTGGGGGTGGCACTGGGGGAGGGGAGCTCATTCCATGGCTCATTCCATGGCTGGTGGACGTGGACACATTGGCCACGATGCAGCTCTGGACAGGGAACAGACCCCCAGTGGGGATTTGCTAGCTGTGTCCTGGTGGTGTAACGACACCTTTTAACTGAGGCAGCTGGTCCAGTTCTCAGAGCTGGAGGACTTCAGGCGAGGCCTGGCAGCAAAGACAAGGTTCTAGATCCTCTCCGGGGCTCCTGGCATCTTTTTCTTTTGCCCCACTCTCCCTGCATAAAGCTGCCCCAGGAAATGGCTTCCTCGCCGCGTCCTGAGAACCTCCTGCGCGTTCCTTTTGCCGTACTCTGCACCCTTGTCACTTGCAGGTGAACAGGTGGTATTACCGCTTGAAAAAGTCTCTCCCAATCCTTTCTTCAGCTAAGCTTTCTTGGGAAAGGGTCTAAGCCTTTGAATGTGCTCACACAGGTCCCTCCTCCTCCAGTGTGACACTGTGACACTGTGTCTGCTGTGTCACAGGCCCTGTCATATTTAATACTCACCACGGCCCAGTGAGACAGGCTCCCCAGTCACGCATGTGCATTCAGACTCAGGAGTTTAGTGACTTGCTGGGTGCACCTGGCTGGGAAAGGCAGATTTTCTGCGTGCAGGCCCAGAGCCCCGCCCACTCCCCCAGCTGCCTGCCTTGAGGGGCTGGGGCATCCGCCTCTTCCCTCCTGCCCAGCTCTGACCCTGGCACGCTTGCCCTCAGCTGTGAGTGCGTTTTTTTTTCCCTCTGAGCAGTTAAGAGTCTTATTAAAAGCCACTAATTTTCAGAGGACTATTGTAAACTTCAGGGATTTGAGAGAGAGAAATAAGGGAGGCATTTGCCCATGCAGGACCCCATTGAGAGACTTGGGGTTGACATGGCCTCCAGCAGAGGGACCAGCCTAGCATGGGAGGGCAGCGGGTCTGAGCTCGCACTTGACTGCGGGCCCCATGTAGCTTTCCACTGCTTTCTCAGAAAACAAAACAAACAAACAAACAAAACCTGTTCCTCCACTGCAGGACCAAGAGTCGAGGAAAAGTGAAAGACCCATCCTGTTTCTTCCTTCACCAGGAGGCTCTTGCGCCATGGTAGCCTGTGTGGGGAGGGGGAAACTGGGGGCATTTTCAGCCAGGATGTCTCACGGTGACTGCTGTCTCACGGATGTCTCACGGGCCAGGCATCTTGTCAGCGCCCCTGTGATGCTATCAGAGGAGGGGCCTCCAGGCCGGCACCCACCCTGGTTCCCTAGGGGTCTGGGTGGGATGAGGAGCTGGCAGCACCAGCTCTCTTGTAGAAAAAACCCAGAGGGAGCGAGGCCGGTCATCCGGTCATTTTCTCCCAGGTTCCTGAGCGCCCCACAGGCCGCGGGTGCGCCCGCCTAAGAGGTCGGTTTTCCTAGCACCCTGATCGTCTGCTCTGTGATGTTAGGCTTTTCCCCCATGCAGAATTGAGGACAGGCAAAACGTGCCCTTTTTCACGTAGTGCCACCAAACCAAGCCCTCAATTCTAGGGCTCGGATCACTGCACCCCTTGATATGACTCATGAATGGATATGGCAAAAGGCCATGACCATGGTGATATGCTTGCCTGCTAAAAGCCTGTGTAACCCAGACATCTCTTGTCATTTCTTGTGAACTCTAGGCAAGCGCGCTGACCATGGCCAGCACCTCATCAGTAGAGCCGCAGGCCTCCTGTATGCACCACCACTTCTCTCTTGAACAAAGTGAAGATTGCTTTGCTTGGAGTCTCCCTAGCCAAAGCCTGGACTATAGCTAATGGCCCAGAGTCCTGTATGTGGCCCCCCAACCTCACCAACCCCAATCACTCACACACGATAGTGAAAGGGCATTGGATACTTGGACGTGGTCTCTCCCCAAGACGATGGGCACATTGCTAAAGGACTCATGAGAACCAGTCAGAAGAGACCAGGATACACTGCAGTAACATACACTTTGCAACCTCAGTGACTTGAATCACTCCTGCAGCATAGCCATCACACGTCAGCAGGGGACGCCGTTTTTCACTGTTGTCACTCAGGGATCCGAGCTGACGCAGGCTCCATCCTCCATGATTGTGGAGGCGGAAAGAAAAAAAAGGCAACGTGGTCATTGCATCCTGGTTCTTAATTGCTGTGCAGCTTCTCAGGTTAGCACTGGCTTGTCCACTGTGTGGCAGGTGCCCAAATGCTGGCTCTCGAATGGAACCCATGTCAGATCCTAGGGAGGGGCCGTCCCACTGCCCAAGTCCTTTCTGTGGAAAGTCCAGCTCGAAGGGCCCGGCCTTTGGCTGTGTACCTCCACGATGGCTCATACCTGGCTCCCCGCTGGGGTGTACACTCAACTATGGGAAACCCACACTCCTTGTTCTGCCTAATGGCAAGATGCTGGCACCTCTGATCTTGGCTCTGCATCTCTAGGGAGGTGTAGGAGGCTGATCGGCATGTCTGTGGCTTCACAGAGGTCCAACTGGGAAGTGAGATGCCGGGCCTGCAGCCATTCTCTGAGAACCTCCCGCTTTTTCAGGTTCAAGCAGGAGAGGAAGCCATCCAGTGGTTCTTGCCTCTCTCTCCTCTCCATTCCCCACCCTTCTTTTAACAGACTGGGGCGGGGCTGGGTGGCCCAATGCAGAGCTATTTCAAGTATTATGCTATCTTTGGGGAAGGTATCAAGCCCCAACTCTTGTTCTTTAGAGTATGGGATACTTAGCATCTCTTTTTTCTTAGTTTTGGGCCCTAATTATGAGTAAGTAGAAAATATTACCCATCAAAGTCTTGTTATGGTGGTTTTAGTGATAAATGCAGAGGAAATTGATCCCAGAGAGAATCCCCCAGGAGCTCCAACCCCAGGCCCAGGGACCCCCCCAGGCTCCCACCATCAGCATCCTACTGGGCCTGCTGCCCCAGACAGCTCTGTACTTGGAGCATCTACCCCTGGTGACCCTCTCATCTCCACTCTTCACACAGATCTCTGTGCTGTGTAAGTACCTCCTCTAAATTCCCAGGAGTGGCCGTTTCTGATACTATTTAACCCCTTGGAATCCTGGCACTGTGGAAAGAGTCAGGTCCTTTTAATGAGACTTCTTTTAGAGATGCGACAGGTAGCTGCAAATGGAAATCTCAGTCTTTTCAGTTCTCCCATCCTCCCCACCGACCCGAGTTGAGCAATTCTTCCCTGCAGGCACACCTCCTGTTAAAGGCAGAACTCTGCTTTCCGAGAGGCCATTTTGAGACCTGGGTAGAGGGCCAAGATGACTCTAGAATGTTTTAGCTGACCCCCTTGACCACAGGTCCCTTCAAAATCCTTGAGGGGTATGGAACAGACCTGGTGGGGACCAGGATCCTGCAGAGCCCAGGGCAGGACTGCTGGCTGGGGCAGGGGGGCCAAGAAGGCTCTGAAGTGTTCTCTCTGGGGGGCGCGGGGTGAGTCAGTGGGGGATGACCTGGGCAGCAGCAACAGCCCAGCTGAGGTGCGAGAGCAGGTGAGAGAGTGTGGGCCTAGCCGCCTGCCATTGGTCATTTCCCAGGGGTCTCAGAAAGAATCCTGGACTTCGAGTCAGATCAGCTTCTCATCTTGGTTTGCCCATTGAATTAACTTAGCTCCCTTCACATTTCACAGACCTAGATTCTTCCTGTCTGAGCTCTTTGCTCTCCTGCACACAGGTCAGCAGGTCTTGCACGGAAGGAGATTTTGTGTTTCGGGGGCAGGGGAGGCAGGTCTTGCATGGGAGGAGGTTGTGTGTTTGGGGGGCAGGGGAAGGCACCCACAGACAGAAAAGGGGTCCAGACAGGCTGAAGGCCCACCGAGTGAAGAGGGGCCTGTACGAAATGGGAGGACGCAGCAAATACACCTTCAGGAAGTGGGACATGTATGAGACAGTCTTCTTGGAGGAGAGCCACATCATGGGGCAGTGATTGACAGTAAAGGAAGAAAGAAATGAGAAGATGAAATGTGTCTGCTTTAGAGAGGAAATAAGATGCAGACAAAGCAAGAGTAGAGAGACAGACGTGCAGGAGAGGGAGAAGAAAGGCCGGAAGCAGTCAGAGGAGGGGCTGAGAGAGCCCTGAGGAAGGGCCATTTTTGATGAAGGAAGTCATGAGGGGCTGGCTCCGGGGCGTCGGGGGTAGGAGGGGAGATGGCCGGGGAGGGGACAATGGGGAGCCAAAGAAAAGGCATGCAGGGGGAGGGGTAGAGGAAGAAGGGTCAGGAGGAATGAGACACTGCAAACTTGAAAAGCAAACTAGAATTAGGCCAAGGTGTCTCTGCGAGGCAGTTGGTGTCTGAGGTTTTCGCATTGTGACTAGAAAGATGTGCAGGCCAGCATGCAGGCTATTTTTGGTGCAGAACAGACACTCAGGAGAATCGCGACTGCACTTAAAATCTGCAACTGCGATCGTCCTAGTCTCAGACTCCAGCCCAAGTCTCTGTGGAGCCTGGGCTCCTGGACACTTCCGCTCGGCTGTGCCACAGGCCCCGGAAACGCATTATGTATCAAGCCGGCCCATAATCTCCACCCTCCTCTCGTCAGCGCTGGGTATGCTGGCTGGCCACGCCCCAAACCCGGAACCCCAGAGCTCTCCTTGGCTCCTCCCTCCAATGTCCTTCCCTCTTTATGGTCCTCTCTCTGTCCTGTAAATTGCCCTCCTACTTCTCTCCCCCGTG